GATCTCTGGAACCCCCAGGGGGTTCCTGGACTACACTTTGAGAACTGTTCCCTTAGCTCATTGGTTTCTTAATGACAAGGCCATTTTCTTTTTTTATATATATTTAATTTTTTTATTATTATACTTCAAGTTCAGGGGAACATGTGCAGATCTTGCAGGATTGTTACATAGGTATACACATGCCATGTTGGTTTGCTGCCTCCATCCCCCCATCACCTACATTAGGTATTTCTCCTAATGTTATCCCTCCCCAATCTCCCCACCCCCTGCTATCCCTCCCCAGCCCCCCACCCCCCAACAGAGCCCAGTGTGTGATGTTCCCCTCCCTGTGTCCATGTGTTCTCATTGTTCAACACCCACTTATGAGTGAGAACATTCGGTGTTTGGTTTTCTGTTATTGTGTCAGCTTGCTGAGAATGATGGTTTCCAGATTGATCCATGTCCCTGCAAAAGACATGAACACGTCCTTTTTTATGGCTACATAGTATTCCATGGTGTATATGTGGACAAGGCCATTTTCTATCCATCCTTACAGACTGGGTTTTATTTATTTTTATGTATTTATTTTAACGTAAAGACCAGTGTCTAACATAATAGGACAGCCTGGGTTTTAAACAGACTATAGTTGGAACTCAGTAAACCTTGCTTGAATTGTTTGGAAATGTCTGTGTCATGAGAGTTTATTGCTCCATAGTCATCATCCAGGGAAATGCTACACTCACTCTAGTGATGCTGCTGTTGCTGAAGGCATTTGGACTCTCCTTGGAGGTTGGCCTCTACATAAGGCATTTGGACTCTCCTTGGAGGTCGACCTCTACGGAAGGCATTTGGACTCTCCTTGGAGGTTGGCCTCTACATAAGGCATTTGGACTCTCCTTGGAGGTCGACCTCTACGGAAGGCATTTGGACTCTCCTTGGAGGTCGGCCTCTACATAAGGCATTTGGACTCTCCTTGGAGGTCAGCCTCTACGGAAGGCATTTGTTCTCTCCTTGGAGGTCGGCCTCTACATAAGGCATTTGGACTCTCCTTGGAGGTCGGCCTCTACAGAAGGCGTTTGGACTCTCCTTGGAGGTTGGCCTCTACAGAGGTTGGTAGTTCTGCTGAATATCCTCAGTGATGTCATATCTTTGTTCTCTGAGGAGCATTTTGATTTTCAGAAACAGCCAGAGTGAAATCTGATATTGAATATGAGTATCACATTGGATAACACTGTAATTTGGATTTGTAAAAAGGAATACTGACTTCTTAAAACTGGGATTGCAATCCTCCTTTAATGGCCATTTCTCTGATTTTACACATATATTTACACCTGTGCAAATGATGTTTGCAGCAGTTTAATAATTACATCATCCTTTCAAGGGTAAAAATTGGAAACAATCTAAATTTACTACTAGGTGACCAGTTAAATAAACTATGAACAACCACAGAACAGAACATGCTGAAGTGGAAAAAAGGAATGAGAAAGTTTTGTATGCATTGATAATAAATTAACTCCTAGATATATTAAGTGAAAAAGCAAAAGGCAAAGCAACGTGTATAGTCTACTATCATCTGTAAGGAAGGAGCTTGTGCGGTGTGTGTGTCTGTGTGTCTCTGTGTTTGCATATCGTGTGTTTCTATGTGTGTGTGTCTATGTGTGTGTATCTATGTGTCTGTATGTGTGTACGTCTGTGTGTCTGTGTGTGCCTGTATGTCTGTGTGTTTGTGTGTCTCTGTGTTTGTGTGTCTGTTTCTGTGTGTCTGTTTGTGTGTCTATGTGTTTGTGTGTCTATGTGTCTATGTCTGTGTGTCTATGTATGTGTGTATCTATTTGTCTGTATGTGTGTGTGTCTCTGTGTCTCTGTGTGTGTGCCTGTATGTCAGTGTGTTTGTATGTCTGTGTGTCTATGTGTTTGCTCATGTACGCATAAGGTGCACAATAAATCTGGCTGGCTGGTTTCCTCCAGAGAGGAGAACTAGATGGCAGGGGTCAAGAGCAGATAAGCAGCTTCTCTAGGACTAGCCTTTTGTACCTTTCGAATTCTAAAACCATGTGAATGTGACCTGATGAAGCAAAAACTTAAAAAGTCCCACACTGAAACAATTATGATCTACTCTCTTCACAAAATCAAAAATAGAAACAATTTTTTAACACTTAGAAAACCTATTCTCTAAAAGAATTCTGAGTATTCCCTGGCCAATAGCATAATTGATAGAAGAAATGTACAATGTACCAGGTGACATGTGGAAGTGACAACAGAAAGGGGCAATGACAGGTGCTTATGAAAAGATTGGTCTTTTTCTTGGTCATGTCTTGTTCATCTTCTCATCCTTTCTTCATTTCACAAATAGGGAACTGAGTCCAGGCAGGTGATGTGACTCTTCCGTGTCACCTGGGCTCTTGCTTCCAATGCTTGCCTTGTTAGAGAGGGGATTTCCTGGCTGCTCCCACAGCTTTCTTTGCTAGGATGCAGTAGGAATATAGGGAGGAGAAGGTGGCAGTTCCTCTTTCATTTGGCCTTAAGCGTACTTCCCTTTTCACCTCTCACCCTGAGCAGGGGCTGGCGGCTGAGGCCAGTGAACACCTGTGGTGGTGGCTGTGAGAGAGCACCTTCCCCTGCTCTTTCTCTTCCTTCTTCCCCTTGGTCACCCACACCAGGCAGATGTCCTTCCCTGCTACCCTAGGACACTGCTCTTGGTGTTTCATAGGCACGTGTCCTCTTTTTCTGAAACTGACATTACTCAGTTCAACATCTTCTACTTTAACAGAGTACTTGGGCTATTTGAAATCAATTTCTCCTTCAAAGGATAAAGATTTGACATCAACTAAGAGGTTCAAAAGTCTGTGGTGTAGGCTCTCCAAAATTCTGGCAGAGGTCAGGTGACCCTGACTTTTATAAAGGTGTTTTGGCATTTACTTATTCATTCATTTATTGAAGAAATGCATATTGGACCTATTCATTGCATGAGGTACTTTCTAGGCACTGTTTGGCCAAAACAGATAAGGTCTCTGTTCTTATGAAGCTCACATTCACATGATGAGAGGTTGACAATAATTAAGTAAACAAACAAATGATGAAGGTAACTTCAGATACTAATAGATGAGAGGGTGATGTGACAGACAGAGGCTGGGGAGCCACCTTTGCACTTGTGCTGAATTCTATCTGAAGATGCCTCCACTAAGAGAGAGGTGCCGTCTCCATGGCCTTTGAGGCCCTCCCCTCCAGTGGTGAGATTTTTACCATCTCCCCATCTGACAGGTTTGCATGCAAGAATGAAAGACAGGGAGGGGAAGAGGGGGGCCAGCTCTGTGGGTCCTGTGTTTACCAGCTGCTGCTACATACCTCTGAGAAACTCTGCTTCTAGCTAAGGGGACCTGCCTCTCTTGGGAATCTCAATACTTGGAACAAGAAACTCCTGGATGAACCCTTTGGCAAAATGAATTGGACCAACTGTAAGTTCCAGGACTCGAGAACCAGCAATGCCTCCCTGGACAATCCCACCCAATTACTCCGCTCAGGTAAGACCAGCTGAAAACCAGACCAATGCACAATGGTTGTTATTCCTGTTTTTTGTTTGCTTGTTTGTTTTTGTGACATGGTCTTGCTCTGTCACCCAGGCTGGAGTATAGTGGTGTGATCTTGGCTTACTGCAGCCTTGACTTCCCTAGCTTAAGTGATTCTCCTATCTCAGCCTCTCAAGGAGCTGGGACTACAGGCATGCAGCAGCACACCCAGCTAATTTTTTATTTTTTAAAGTAGAGACAAGGTCTCTCTACATTGCTCAGGCTGGTCTCGAACTCCTGAGCTCAGGCAGTCCTCCTGCCTTTACTTCCCAAAGTGCTGGGATTATAGGCATGAGTCACTGCGCCCAGCCCGTTATTACTGTTGAATAATAGTCTGATCACTGAGTTCTCAAACAACTCTGTGAGGTAGATATTCATGTTCTGTCCGTTTCACAGATGAGGCTCAGAAATGTTAAGTGTTTGTCTTATGATCACAGTTAGGAAGCACCCGAGACCCAGGTCAATGGACTTTAAATCTCAGGCTCTTTCATAACATCATTCTTTGTTCTTCTCTCCTCTGCTCAGCTCCTCTGCCTGCCCAGGATAGGTACTTGCCTTTCTGGGCCTGGATGGACACATCATGCTATCTCCCCCATGATGTAAACAGGTATGCTCTACTCCTGCCAGCCTCCCCCAGCTGGGGACCCAAGTTCCCCTCTCGTTGCTCAGGGCTTATGTGTGTCATCCGCCACACCCCACTCCCCCACACATCATGCCCTGTGACTTGGTACCTCATCTTGCATGATTCATGGCTGGTACCATAGGCACTGGGAAGGTCTGGTTTCCAAGACCCCTTTCTACCCTCCATCCAGTAGCTGTCAAAGGCAAACCTGGAAAGGTCAGCTATCTGACTCAGAAGAGGGACAGGGAAAAAAGCAGAAAGGAAGGGAGCTGTTAGGATACCCAGCAGGATTCCACCTGGCCTTGGTGCCCCCAAAGGCTGTAATGCTTGGCATTTGTATTCCCAGATGCTATTTATCCAACGTGGGTAGTAAATTGTCCTAGTGATCCAGTGGGTTCCCTCTAGCCCACTTTGGCAGCAGTCTCTGCATTGTGCAGCCAGCTCCCCAAGACATGTGGCCTGAAAGGTGCTACCTGTTATAAGGGCTGAATTAATGCAGCTCCACTTCATGGGAAAAAAAATAGGAAGGGGGCCGGGCATGGTGGCTGGCACCTGTAATCCCAACACTTTGAGAGACCGAGGCAGGCAGATCATGAGACCAGGAGTTTGAGACCAGCCTGACCAACATAGTGAAACCCCGTCTTTACTAAAAATACAAAAATTAGCCAGGTGGCACCTGCCTGTAATCCCAGCTACTCAGGAGGCTGAGGCAGGAGAATCGCTTGAACCCGGGAGGCGGAGGTTGCAGTGAGCCGAGATTTCGTCGCTGTATTCCAGTCGGGGCAACAGAGAGAGAATGTCTCAAAAAAAAAAAAAAAAAAAGAAAGAAAAGAAAGAAAGAAAGAGGAAGAAGCCTGAATGCAGGTAAGGGAGCTTTGGGCTTTGGGTTTGGAGTCAAAATGTGGACTCCAGTCCTGGCTACAGCACTTGCCTCAGACAAGTGCCTTCCTCTGAGATTCCTCACCTGTACAATGGGAGGGTTTAAGATTCCTTCTACCTCTGAGAATCTGCACACAGAATATGGCTGAAGAGGGGATGAGCTTTGTGTCTCCTTCCCTCGAGGTGGGGGAAATTCTTTCCCAGTATGAATAATTCTCACCTTCCCCACCAGAGCAAGGGCAGGCTCTCAGACCCGCCACCTCTCCCTCGTCATAGCCCTACTGGCCTTGCCGATGTCCTGATTCTGTCAACCCCTTTCACATGCCCCTCCACCAACATCCTGGTTATCTTATTTCCTGGACCTCCTGTCGTATCTGCTAACCCTTGGTAAGAATGGTAGCGCTCTGGAGTGAAACGGTCACATGGAGGCAGCAGAACGCAGTGTGTATGAACACGCGACTTAAAGTCAGAGAGACACAGGTTGACGTCTAAACTCTGCCACTTCCCAGCTCTACGGCCCTAAGCAAGTCTGATCCCCGAGAGCTGTTTTTCTTTACTGTATAACAGGAATAATAATTGTTTCTATCTCAAGTCTATTTGTGAAGATTAAACAAGATGAAGAACGTGCCCAGCATATAGTAAGTTCACAATAAACAATAGCTAATATTACCATTTAGCATTCTGTAGAGCTCATTTGCATATGTGTTCAAGAATTACCTTCTTATCTCTTTGATATTACTTTCCTCTCCTTCCCCTTATGCAGAGAACATCACCACTCTGGAGCCGGACTCAGCAGGTGGGTGAGAGAAGGGCTAGACCGGTGAAGGAGGAAGGTGGGCTCCTGGGGAAGGGATCTGTGGGGATGGGTGTGAGTGGGGCCATGGCTATGGAGGCTGGAGCTGGGGAGAGGGGCTAACATGGAGGCAGGAGATGGTTGGCCACTAAGGATGTGGGAGCCTGGAAGTGGGAGAGCCCCTATAGGGGCGAGGAGGCCCCAGGGCACTTTTCTGGAGGGTCACCAAAGCCAGCCAGAGCAGCCTATGGTCCTCATTTCCCTTGGTTGCTTCCCTCAGCCTAAGCACAGCAGCCACAGCCCTTTCAGGCTCCACTGCTGTGGTGGTCCTCATCTTGCTCCCAGTGGGTCTTTTGTCCATGACCCGGAAGAAATGGAGGCATGAGAGCGAGTTGAACAAGTTGGCGGTGGAACTGGGAATGAAGAGAGCAGAAACCGGGGGCAGGCATGGGGGTATCTTCAGCCTTGTGAGGGGCATAGTGGGAGGGTAATATGAAGGAGATACGAAGATAAGACCTCTGCAGTTGCTGGGGACCCTGTACGCAGCAATAAGACTTACTCATCACACAAGTTCTCCATGCTGAAAACCATATATAGTAGAAGCCTTCTGAATATACGCTTACAGCGTATATGCCTCAGCTAATAGAAATATTGATGCCCAATAATCTCTTCTAAATAATAAACAAAATTATAGAGAGTGCTCATTTCCCCTGTGTCTCCCTGGGAATTTAACTTAGTCTCAGAGGCCCAATGGCCTGAGTGTGGTGGATTTTGCATTTCAGATTTGAGCCCTAAATTTAGCAAACAACCAAGTAAAGATGGTTATTAACCCAACTCAGACTCTGAGTTCATCAATTTTTCTAGGAATATTTAAGAAACAACTGAGGCATCAGACCAACTTTCCCCACAAGTCCTCGGTAAGGAACTAGTCCAGTCGCACCTAGGGGGGGCTCCTGGCCTTCCTAGTTAGACCCCACACAGAGGGTGGTGGGCTGAGGTGGGGGGCAGACCTGGAGGAACTGTTTCTGAAAACTGGGATCTAGGGCTTTCACACAAGAACTCAGCGCTCTACCGGCTGCCCTGTAGGGACAGCCCAGTGCTGGGTTTTGTCTCTGGAAGTCCCTGGTGCCTAGCCATCTGCCACTAACCAGGGTTCTCTCTCTAAAGGATCTTTCCTGCCACGCCAATGCCATATTTTCCAATGTGATCAACCCGGCCCCCTAGAACGGGGACGACTTTGCTGTCTATGCTAACATGCCTCCTTTCCATTGCCCCTAGTGGACATCGCCAGACCAAGTGGAATATGCCTTCATTGCATTCCACTGATGGGAAGCCAACGAGATGCTCAGAGCAGGGGTCAGACCTGGCCCCAGCTGGGTCTTGGCATAGCCTTTGCTTTAGATTTCGGTGTGTATGATTAAAAAAAAAAAATACATAGGCCGGGCTCGGTGGCTCATGCCTGTAATCCCAGCACTTTGGGAGGCTGAGGCAGGCAGATCACAAGGTCAGGAGATAGAGAGCATCCTGGCCAACATGGTGAAACCCTATCTCTACTAAAAATACAAAAATTAGCCAAGCATGGTGGCACGTGCCTGTAGTCCCAGCTACTCAGGAGGCTGAGGCAGGAGAATCACTTGAACCCGGGAGGCAGAAGTTGCAGTGAGCCGAGATCGTGCCACAGCAGTCCAGCCTGGGTGACAGAGGGAGACTTCATCTCTAAGTACAATAATAATAATACAACATGTTCTGATGGAGGTGGATGGCTGGGCATTTCTTCTAATTTATTAGAATCGAAGTACAGTTCTAATAGAAAGGAGTGGCATACGAGAGACACAGGACATGCTCATCCAGACCTCCCCCAGCCACAGAGGCAGGCTCCTGACGCAGACGGGCCAGCAAAGGAGCCCTTCGAGCTCTTGCCCCTGCGGAGGCAAAAGGGCTGAGGAGGAGGATTCAGACATTGCAGGCCCAGCCGCTTTTGTCTCTCCGGTCTTGCCCCTCAGGAGTTAATACCCCGTGGGAGTCAACTTAGGAGTCATGCTCACGTGGTGATCGCGTGCGTGGCTGACTGCCTCATGCACCTGCACAATACAATTGCTGGACAATACGCCAGGTGTGGGGGAGGAGGCATATGGGGGCTGCAGGGAAGTGCCGCTGGGAAGTGCTTCTTATTGAGGGACTTGGTGAGCTTCCAGGAAGCATGGGGGCCACCTGAGAGAGGAGGCTGGGAAGCAGTGCCAAGCAGGAAGTGGGCTGTGTGTCATCACTGGTCAGAACAGCTCCCATGGGAACTGCGGTAAATGCCTGGAACTTTACAGTTGATTCACTCCTTCTTTTCATCATTCACAAATACTTATTAAGCACTTCCATGATCTAGGTCCTGGGAATTCGGCAGTGAACCCAACAGACAAAGCCTTATCCTCACAGAGCTTACCTTCTAGAATGCACAAAGAAACAAGCAAACACACAAAATGTCAGACGGTGGGATGTGCTATGGGAAATAAAGCAAGCATTCCCTACCCTACACTTCCATGCCAGAGGGGAGAGTGGGTTGCTAGTTTGTATCAGGTGTTCAGGGAAGGCCTCGCTGACTTTCGACCTAAAGAAAAAAGTGAGAGTGTGAGACCTGATGATAAATAGGGGAAGAGCATTTCAGGCATCAGGAACGGCAAGTGCGGGGGCCCTGAGGTAGACATGGTCCAAGGGAAGCAAGGAGGTGAGTGTGTCTGGTGTGGAGCTGGGGGTGGCAGGGGTCAGAGCAACGATGTGGAGCAAGTCAGCGTTCTTCACTCTTAGGAGAGGTCTTGGAAAACGGAAAGTTTCAAGCACGGCTTGTGTTTGGAAAACATTTTTCTGGCTACTGTATGGAGCTGGACTGTAGGGGCAGGGGTGGAAGTAGAGAAGGTAGTAATATCCAAATGCAGGAGTGCCCAGTGGTTAAATCCTCAAAACAAAAAGACGTGTATGCTTCTCTGGAGGCAGCTAGAAGGCAGAACTCCAGGCGGAAGAGAGAAACCCATGTGGAGGTCAGTCTCTGGATGGCAGGGACCCCACAGACTGGACCAATGGTACAGTGGGAAAGTGCCTGGGGAGGCTGGTCGAGGCCTAACAGGCCAGAATCCTTCCACCCTGAGCCTTGCTCTGGGAACCCCACCTCTTCTTTCATCTTCCACGTAGTGGAAGTCTAATGGGCAGGACAGTCAGAGGTGGTGAGAGGACAGGGCCAGGCAAGTCCCGCCTGCGGGACAGTAGGGATCGGGGACTCAACAAGTCTCAGGCCTCTCACCAGAACCAGCATGTTGGGAACACACCTCTCCATCCACATTTGGTCTCAGG